TAATGAATGCAACAATATAAGATGTAGGCTCTCATACAATGTCAAAGTACCCAATCTAAAAGTAATCAGTCACCAAACCCCAAATTAAATCAAAATCAACATCAGATAAGACCAACTAACACTTTCAAAAGTTGCTTCTTGTTTAAAAATAATATTAGAGACTTCATCCTTAGAAATTTATTAAATAAAAGCATTTAATAACATCAGAAAGGCAGAAGGGTGAGTAACATCCAGAAAAGGTCTAATAATGGAAGAAAAACACTGACTAATTCTCATATAATAACCAGATTTCATTATCTTTGAACATTCCTCTTGGACACTTTCAGATCTCTGTTTGGCTAGCAACTATGTTCATGACTGAGAAAGAAGAATGAATGCTTAAAATATAGTTAAAAAAATTATAAAGATAAGACATTCCATTGGTTGTGCCAAACAAAACCATTGCTTGTAAGAGAAAACAGAGAAATGACTTAATAACCTATTTAACAGACATAAGGAATTCTTGAAGTTCTTCCACCATATCTAGGAAGAATTATGATGTTACACTAGAAATCATTAGAAGTTTTTGCACAAGAAAAAACTAAGTAAATATAAATTGCAATGAAAAATTATTAACGTAAGTAAATACAAGAAAACAAAAACAGAAGAGTGATAAGGGCTTTACCTCAAAATCAAGCAAAGGAGGACCTGTTTCTGAAAGTAAGGAAACGTTTAGGAGATTATAGAGACTATAGGTAGCAATAAGTGCATTATCTTGATCCTTTTTATACCTGATTAAAAGAAAAAGAAAATATCCATTATAGTCCATGTTGAAGTTTAAGTTTAAAAATATATTAGGTCTGTTTACTAGTAATAACTGCTAGTGTATGTGTGCAAAATATACATGCCTAATAGAAACTCCAAAGTACTACATTATATAAAACTACTATACATCAAATATACAGCCTACAACAATGTAATTTGTACTTTGAACTAAAATTTTAATCTTACAACTCCAATATAGTAGGGACAAGTCTTGGTAAAGCTGCCTTTAATTGAGTACGGGTGATAAGACCAACCATCTGACCTAATGCTTCCACAGAAGATATTCGAACCTAGTTCAAATAAGAATATAGTCAACAATGAGCAACAAATTTACTTTAGATCCAAAAAACAAGATACAACATAACAGGACAATTAGACATTATTAACAAACAAAATTAAAAGGTATTTATTAGTGACAGATATATTTTTTCGTTTATTGTCATTTTGCTTAAAGAATTTTGCAGTCTTCACATTCTAAGTGTTTCTTTTTCTTTTTGGATGAGCACAGAGGAATTAAGAAACAAATCGAGTACATGGGGTTTTCCAGAATCAAACAACAATAATAACATAATAAAACAGTAATAATATCTGTAATTTTAGGTTTCTAATATATAAATATATAAACAAATATATTGAGTTAGCAAACCTTAGGATCTCGTGAAACAGCCCAAACTCTCAATAAAAGTTCAAAAACAGAATTTAGAAATGACCTGTAATAAATACAACATTTTTTTAGTCATTACATTATCAGAATATGATATAAAGCATCAGCAAAATGACACCAATAAAATGTGTATTGCCGTATCTCACATGACGTCACCATCAATAGGGGAATCAGAAGGGAAATCAACGTTATATTGCCAGACAGCTTCACACCAGCACTTAAAAGCTAGGAGAGTAAAAAAGAACATATCATCATGGGTTAGCCAGCTATCAAGAGAAGAAGTGCATAATGCATGTGAAACATATATTTACAACAAAGTCATCTAAGGATAAAAAAAGGGTGAACATCAAACCCAGAGAAATTTTGTATGTGGGAAAACATGGAAAGATGAAAACCAACATAAAGCAAGCAACATAAATTAATAAGCTATGTTTAAAGAAAAAATGGGTCAAAAGAACCAACTTTTTTTCACCAGCTATGCTCCCATATCAGAGCAGAGAATCTTATAAAGATAAACAATTAATTAAATCTCAAGTGTTGAAGAAGGTTATGAAGTTCAAGCTCCATAGAAGGAAACTTCAATCAGAATTGAAAGACATAAGGAACTATGCTAACATCAAATCTAGATACTAGCAAAGATTGAAATGTAAAAACATTAAAAGATTTCAAGAGAAATCAATAAGGCCAGTCAGTGCTCTTAACATTATTCAATAACTTAATTTTTAGAAAAATAGTGAGGGAACATATATATTACCATTTGCAAATAGTGGCCTGTGGGCATCTCTTACATTTCCAAGGATAGGTAGAACTTGTAAAAGCACACCTTTCAAACGTGGAGTGAACTGCAAAGCTTGATTGAATAAAATAAAGTACAAAAATCTTTCATTAAACAAAGAAATTGCAATAACCCATAGATAATTAAAGTTCAAAAAAGCACAAAGAACCACATAGGCAAGTGATTAACCATCAGCAGAAGCGAAGTCTGCAAGTATTTGAACTATAGCTGGCAAAGCTGAGCTTGGCCCTGACAAATGAAGAAATATTTCTTCCATCATCTGCCAAAACAGGATGGGCCATGATAAATGACTAAATATATATAGTTTAAGCAATGAACTTGATAAGGAAAATAAAACAAGAAAATAAGAAGAGGAGACAGAGAGCAGATAAGGAAATACTTTTCCTATGCAATATATAAACATAATAAAACGAGACACAGTTTCAGAAAAGTAAAGTAACAGCAAAAATTAAAAACTATAAACCAAACTGCAAGCAATAGACTTACAAGGTCAGGCAGATGTGAGCCTATTGAAACAAGTAGACTTGCTGCTGCCCTTTGCCAATCTGCTTTGAGTTCCTATATAACCATGAGCAAAACAAGCAAATTATGAATTCCAATCCAATAACAACTATTGCCTACAATGAAGCATGTGCAGAATTGGATTAATAAGCCAAGTACCAACGTGAGCTATAGTGTCAGCCAATACAAACTAATATTTTATTTTCCAAGAGCCCAAGGAGACACCACAATGGTTAGAGCTTGAGACTTCTCGGAGGACTCAAGTTTCAATCACTGAGAACGTGGTCATTTAGAAGCTTACCAAAGGAGAATCATTGATGCAAGCAGCACAAAAACAGTAGGAAGGGCTATAAAGTTTTTATAAAATAAAAAGAAGATATAATATATATGTATGTGTGTGTATATCTATATATATATATACATACACACACACACACACACATATATATATATATATGATCCCTTAAAAAGATCATCCACAAATCAAAACATTAACTCAACAATCAGAACAGGTAAACCCAACATTTCCTGTTGCCAATTGCAAAAGACCACATTTTGATTACTTGTTCTCATTGTACCACAAAAATTTAAAAGCCACCAAGCCAATCCAAAATTGCAACCCATTATAAGAAAATATACGAAAAGCAGGCAACCTAATTCGTGCCAAATTCCTGAGCCTATAAGCGAGAACGCGCCTTCTAGTTATAACTTTTATGTTACTAACTCTAATGCAACAAGAGAAACAAGAAATATATTTACCTTGGAAGAGATGATCTCGGCGGTGGCAATTTTCGCAAGCTTGCCAATATAAGAAGCATCAATGTCCTTTTTATCTAAAGCTCGAACTCCGAATGTCATTACTTGAAAAACTCCAGCCATATTGCCAAATCTCTACAATAAGTATCCAATAATTTTAAATATTAATCGCACTCCAATTTTCTAAATCGAAACAACAGAAACAAAAGAAGAGAATTATTACCCTACGGCCACCTCGAGAAACGGCGGAGCAACAGTCGAGGACAAGAAGAGGGTTCCTAATATATAATCCAGTTCAAATTAGAATTTAAAAAAAAAAAAACTGAATTATATAAAATTGTTTTAAAAAAAAAAAGAAAAAGAAGATACAGTGCAGAAATGTCTTTAAGAGAAGCCATGGAAGCTTCTTTGACCATTGGAGATTCATCTGCAAGCGAGGAGACGAGAAATCGAACAGCCTCTGCTTTTTTTTTTAAAAATAAAAATTAAAAAAATTAAAACAATTTATAAACAGTAATTTAAAGGGGAATGTTGAATTGAATGTACCTGGAGCGGGAATTGAACTCCCGCGGGAGCTCGAAGAAGCCATGGAATTGTGCGTTATAAAATTGAAGAGAAAAGTAAATGTGGCATCCAAGCAGAGGAAAAGGAAACCCACTAAAAAGGAGAAAGTAATCGAGTTTGAGGGAGATGGTGATGGACGAAAAAGGAAGGAGGAAATGACAGGAAGGGGACATACAGGCTGTTCGTTAAGGCCACGTGGCTCGTGGCTTGTTCCGTTTCCGTCTCGATTTGATTTCTCCCGCTTTTTCTGTTGGTTTTCAGGATCAGATCTAATCCGAAAGAAACGGTCGTGTTTTTGGGTCAGAGAGAACCCAATGGGCTTTCTCCCAAACCGTTTATAAATGAAAAGACCCAAATGTGCTTTCTTCAAAACCAAGTTTGACCAAATTTGTAACCCTACATCGCCTCTCTTTATCCTTTTTAGGGCCGAGTTGTTTTTAACCGTTGATAAAATAAATCTGAAAATAATATAATGTCAATATATATATAGATATTATTCATTATTGATACATCATAAATCATCAATCACATCATTGATTTATTTTAATGTACTTAAATATTTAAAATTTTAAATATTTATTTTTTAAAATTTATTAATGATAATGTAACATTTTATGCTGTATTTATAACATTATATACTGACAATGCATTAAATATAAATCTAGTAATATATATAAATTAACAAAATCTTAATCCTGCAATTCACAACATTTTTTTATTTGCATAATTTAATAAAAGAAAAAGAAAAAAAATAAAAGTTTGGCAGAGGCTATGATAACTGTTTTAAACTAAAGAAAACTACAATTTGAGAATAAAAAAATTATAAATATTAAAATTTGAATTTAAATATTATCTTTTAAAGATAACTTCATAAATGGAGTTAAGTATGACTTATTTTACCTGTTTAATATAATAAATAATTTAAGCGCAATGAAAGAAATATAATGATGGTAATGGACCTAATGGGGTTTATACATATGTTTTCACATTTAAGCAATGCATTTTTACGTATAAAATTAGCAAATAATGGGCTTAATAAACATCAATATTCAATAATTTTATATGCCTTAGAAGGAAGATAAACTCAAAATTGGAAAATTTTATAACAATTTGTAGGCTATTGTTACAGGAGTGATCAATTAGAAGGGAGAACCCCTTGGAGCTGTGAGACCAAGGTACCGCATTATCTTTAGCCGGCGAGCTCCTTTACCAGATGTCAATGGAAATGTAGCATCCTACAAAAGAATGTTATAAATAAAACCATTAATGGTAGCAACTAGCAAGTAGTTTCAAGGCGAGCCTGTCAAAATTTGAGTGGCAACTCACATCCAGGTGAATTGTAGGCTTTTGTTCCTTCTTACTACCTCCTTGTTTGAATAAAGTAGTACCTGTTTTGCTTGAGGTAGATGAAGTCCATTTCCCTGTCCAATATTAAGTAGGGTCATGATAACAACAATGGTAGTTTCTCTAGTAAACCCAATGGAAAGAAAAGGCATTAAAGGCTTAAACAGACTTTGGAGATTGATAAGAAGGCAGGAAAAAGTAATCAGTGTTTGCTTGTCCGGGAAGGAAGGAATGTAATAGGGTGAAGATTGAAGCCAGCAATTCTGTGAGAATGGGGTTCACTCGAACCGCACAAGCACTTAACAGCCTGATGCTCTTACCATCAAACTAATGAGGCCAGCTAGTCAAACTACACAAACTTAGTTTATCAGTTCAGTAAGCTATCAAGGCTCTAGCTACAGTTGAAGAATGGCAGTTTTAGGATAAAAGACACGATACACCTATAAGAATGAATATGTACCTTTCTGGGAATGGTATTAAGTTTGATTAGCCTTAAAAAATGTTTGCCGGTAAAACATGATATTGTGAAGGAATTGGACACATGGAAGTGTTTAAAGAAAAGGCAACAAGACAAAGAAATCTTGAGTTTTCAAGCTTGGTTGAAGGTTAAAAGCCTAAGTTAGAGACAAATGCAACAAATACCAGATTTTTGGTCTTGCTGCTCAGAGTGAGTGGAAGAATCAGGGCTTCCAGGCAACTGCATACATGATTTTATATGTTCCTTCCTCTGTACTAATGCCTGCAATTAGGCCAGAATTCAGTTCCAGTGGTTGAAAAAAAGATACAATGAAAACGAATTGCATATTTCACAGAAATCATCAAATACTTGTTTCAAAGCATCTTGAAATTTTTCCATTGGATTGCAGCTCCTTTCGTCAAAGCACTGGCAAAAAGAAAAAAGATAGAGTGGGCAGATTATTAGACAGACTTTTAAAGGAGACATCATTTAAGCTACTTGTTCATAGGTTGAACTAAACTTAGTTAAAGATAACATTAAGTTCATCTAGGTTTATATTATAAAACTATATATATATTTTTTTTGAAATCATTTTCTGATATGATTATCAAAACCACCACCAAATTCCAATCACAAATCTTGGAATGGAGGGAACTATCATCATTCCCCTCCAAAGCCTTTAAATACTTCAAATGAATATCACAAGGTGGTAGGAAAGAAAAAGAAAAAAGAAAAAGAAGAGAAGAAAACTCTTTCCAAGCAAGTTTTAAGAAAGCAATAACATTGATTAGGCTTATATCAATATCTGATAATTTTGGCATAGCTAGACAAAGCCTATACTTACATCCTCGAGCATTGAAAGATCCCTTGCTGCATTAACCCAAGCACTGAAAAAAATTAGCTAATATTTAAGATCATACAACTGAAATATCAACCAGAATAAATTTTTCACTGTTCTAAGATAGCTGCACATTAACTTACAATGGGGAACTCTACCTGTTCTGTTTCCCATAAAACTTAACTAAAACAAGTTCCTCCGTTCGTTGCATTCTTGAATCAGCTAAACTGGATTTTTTTCCAATGATCTGTAAATGTCAAATAAGATCTTTTAATAGTATTTCTAAAAACAAAAAAATAACTATTTACTTCATGTGCAAAAGATTTAATAATCCTCCTCATCTTCAAATAAGCTCATACCTTAACAGAACAAGAAGTTTCAAGTCAAAGGGGAAATTATCAAAAGAAGATACTAAAAGTTTCTTCTCATAACTAGAAAAGTTACAGGTATCAGTCAATAGAAATGGAGCCTTAAAACACTAAACCTGCTTATGTCTGCTCTACTTTTGTCATATACAAAGTTTCTTCCCCAACAGAAAACATCAACATGAAAATGTATCAGAAGCCTATCTTGAAACTCATAGTGAAAAAATTAGAACCTCATTTCCCAAATTGGAAGCCATTGGGTAAAAGAATTTCAAACTATTCTGCACAAAATTAGGTAATTAATTCATCTCTGAAAGAAAGTGCCAACGGGCTCCCAACAAAAGCATTGTTTCATTTGAGAACTTAGCTTACTTAAGGCTATGCAACTATGAGATAGCCTGTAGGAGCAAGAGAGGAGCGAAAGAAAAGCAGATCAACAGCCAGAAAGAAAAATATCAACAAAAATGAAAGATAGAAAAAAGGGCAAGTCCTCTAATAAATAAATTGTAGTCATAGGATTCTATAAATTCCGGCACGTGACTGTATAATATAAAAAACAAAAAGATCCCTTATATCTCATATCGTGAAACAACAAGAAAGTAACAGAATCATACTTCAGCAGGCCACCACAATCGGCAAGCTGTTTTGGCCCAAACGACATTTCCTGGAGTTATGCAAACACCATTGCTTCCTCTAACTTGTAATTTCTTTGCATCACTTTTTTGTTCAACACCTTTTCTACTCAAGAAGAAAAAGACAGAAAATTCTTTAGTAAACAAAAAATACAACATGACAGCAAACTTCAGAAAACTGCCCATAGCATTATACATACAGGACAATTCTACCACTGCATGGGTCATTAACTTTATTTAGAGCAACTGATTCGACTTCTACTGCTGGAAATTCATAGAAATTCAACACGAATCCTAGTCTTTTATCCTCGTAGTTGCTGCAATAAACCGAGTCATGCACTTTTTTCCTTCCATCCTTTTTGTCATCAAAATTAGTTAAGGTTACACTAGAAGCTTCATCTCTGTCATAGGAGCATGCTGGTAAGGAACCTGCGCCAAAAGTGCCAAGATTAAAGATATAGTTCTCCATAATGTTTTACTTTATTGATATAAGATCTCTTCATCTTAGTAATAGAACTTCAGACGAAAGTGACAAGAGAATAATCACGCAGCATATTTAAAGAACTTCAGAAGGTAATAATTTCATAAAATATATGTTTATTAAGTTCTTATACATAATTATCCATGTAAATTGGTGACATGTTGCAAGTAGAACAAAAGCCATGGACATAATTATTCATAATTGATGCACAAAACGCCCACAGGCCACGACCTTCAACCTTTCTCCTCAAATGGTATCCAAGATATCCATTTGGGGTCATTTCGCAATTTAATAATTACCCACCAAATAAATGACACAAGAAATTTCAAGCTTTAAGGAAAAATTCCTTTCTTAGTAAGCAAGAGTAGTTTTTTCTTCTTCACTAACATAAAATTTGTGACTCCGGCAAATATAAAGCTACCCAAAGAAAACTGGAAAATGAAAGCTGATAGAATTCGTGAAAACAGAGAGAGATTGAAAGACCTGGAGCAGATGGGGAACCAGGGGAAGAAGAAGATGAAGAGCGTTTAGCCTTAGATGCAGCTTTTCTTGGCAGCTTAGTAAACTTGGGAACATTATCAATTTGGTTTAATTCCTTTATCTTTTGCTTCTTTTTCCCTGGTGCTTTCTTCTTTGTCATTGATGGTGACCTGAGCCAGAGCTTGTATGTTCAGAAATTAGTAAAGGTTTCCAGGGAGAGGAACCCTAGAGAAAAAAAAAAAGGATATTGGCTGATCCAAGATCGATGACTTAGGCCTTTACAACGTGATAACTTCGGCTGAAATGGTCCACGTTTCGGTCTTTTTCTTCTTTTCTTTTGTACTTCGTTGCTCTATTGCATAATATGCTTTTTTTTAAAAACAAAGTTAAATTAACTGTTCTTTTTCTCTTCCTGTATAAGCAGGATTTATTCTCACAAAAATGACATAAATGCATCTGTCCATTTGACATCCACTGATTACATGTCTAATTTAGAATGCTTGATTAGCATGGCTGAATCGACAAGCTTATAAAGGACAGAATGTAACATCGTAAGAAGTAGCCCCGCTACATTTGTAGATTGGAGGATTATTATCTCCAGGAAAGGTGTGTGCCAACTGACAAACTTGCTTGAATGTTTTTGAATAATCATTAGGCTGACAAGCCTGCCCTGTAAAGGCTCCAGTGCAACAATATTTGGGATCTTTCAATGCATCGCATGGACTATTGCATCCCACATAAACTCCATTTTGGTTTTGAGCAACCAAGGGCGAAGGGCATACATCTTTCAAATCCTTGATGCAGTCTACCACGGGGCATGATCCGGAACCTCCAACCAATGAGCCGCCTACTGGCTTAATCCGGACTGGCACATTGAACCCATGGTTCAGGTTCACTTCATAAGAGACCACGTTTTGGTTGATACCAAAATTGAGGAGTGTCACAGGGGGTTTTGGTGGTGGGGATTGGCAATCAATTGAGCCAGATCCACAGTCTCCGGTCTCACAAGTAAAATTAGTCATGGAAGCATCGTAGGAGCACTTGGTCCGTACCCAAATGCTACCAGTCCACGTATCTGGCATGGAGAATATTTCCAATGTGCCTGGTGCCCTCTCAGGATCAGCGTCGCCTATGGAGGGGCTGGCTGATAGCCATACCGAGAATGAGCATTCATTGTCGAAGTTAATGGTTATGTCGGATTGCACAAATATACCTGAAAATTTAGATTAACAATCAAGGGTAAGTCTCTACTTTAGGGAGAATGCTATTTAGGCAGATAATCTTAAAATTCTTTAAGATATCAAGATGTTCACAATTTAAATAATTTTTTTTTTACGAAAAAAAAATTATTAAGCTCAAAGAGTAAAAAAGTTCATATATTAATCATTAAATCAAATGCTCAAACGTAAAAAATTTTTTCCACATAAAAAAAAACACCAAATCATTAAGCTAAGGTGTTTGACCTATATATTCACATCACTACATGCTCTACATTATAATGCACAAGAGAAGAACCCTCAATTATAATATTTTTTTATACACTTTCTCTCTTATCAAGCGAGCTAAGCCTAAACGTTGTGACAATATGCCTTTGACACCATCAACAGAAAACCAAAAGGACACAACATTAACCTGAAATAACCAATAAGAGGCAAAGACTGAAAACTGCTTTACTATCCATTGAACTTTAGGTTTCAGAAGGAAATTTTCATATGGAACTAGTAGGTTGGGATGGGATTATTATACAGCAAGCCATTTTATCTTTGGTAAGAACAAAGAAGGCATAATTTTCTGGTTAATAAATTGAAAATCATTTTAGTCAAAGATTCAGAGATGTGGAAGATAATCCATTAAAAGGGTACCATAAATGGAAGAATCATAACTTTTGCATTAATGAACATTTGACCATAAGTTTAGGACTGCTCCTCTTAATATGTATCAAACCTAAACTTTCATTTAGGGGGAGCTTATAAAAATGAAGATGTTTCAGTAGCCACATACCTTTGAAAATACCTTTGGTCTGCATTAAGATGTTTTTCTGGATAATTCCTTCAAAGTTCAAAAGAGAAACCTAAAAATCCTGTGGGAAGTACAGACATCGGCTGATTGAACATATATTACGTTTGGTTTGGCACAGTATTTGAATTTCTCATTGAACAAAAATTTTCCAGCAATAAAATAAACCTTAAAATATTAGGAATATATCTCATTACACATTCATTTGCATGTCTTCTGCCCACCCTGCTCTGCACTTTGGTTCTCTTCAAAGATCAATGTCAGTTTTGTTTTATGTTTAAAGATGTATTTTTGTAATGGACTAAGCAACAAAAATAATTATAATACATTAACGTAAAAGAGTTGGTATTTGCTGAATGAGAATCGTATCCGTGGCTACCGCTGACCACGTCTTATAGGGATCATTGAATCAATAGCAATAAGCCTTATTTAAAGAGGCTCATCACAAAATAATACCTGAGGTAGTAAATTCAATTAAGCGAGATTTAGAAACTGAAATTTCACTCTGACCGCCAATGAGCACCTTAGCCAGAGCATTTATAACACAACCCAAATAAGCCTCACTCGCTTGTCTCTGAACATTTTTTCCTTGTTGCTTTTACCACACTTCCCTCTTGTAATATTATTAGAGTAAATTTTTAATTTCAACACATATCCCATATTTTTAATTAATTATTAGCTAATTGAAGATAGGCAGTTAGGCACATGCTTTGTCATTTAGAGTTACGTGACCCCACGATGAGAGCATCAGCCTCCAATTTGGTTTAAGTGCATGTTTTGTTTGCTGGTTAAACCGTGGCCATTGCCTACCACGGTCCCATCTTGGAATTGCAACAGGCTAAGAAACTTCAGCACTAACGCAACATTTGCACATGCATTGCCGCCCACTGTCCTGCCACAGAGTAATGCCATGCTTGCCGGTGGAAAATCTGCCGTTATTGATAAATGGTAAGGCAGGATTTGGATCTATATATGAAAGTAGCCTTGCCATTGGAAAAGAAAATAGTCTACCCCTTCGATTTTCCATGCCCAATGTCCCATGAAACATAGCCTTCAAGCTTGATGTCTCCTTCAATCTATTTTTCACGTAAAATTAAATGATAAGTATTATATATCATATTTAATATGTATTTAAAATAAAATTATAAAAAATTAATCATTTTTTTAATATAAAAAATTTAAAATAAAAAAATTAAATTTTGTATTTTATTATAATATTAAAAATTATATAAATTTTTTTAAAAATAATTTTAACTAATAAATAAAATTATTTTATTTTAATCTTTATACAAATCAAATATAAAATTTTATTTTATTTTATTTTATTTATAATATTATTTTATTTTACCTTATTCTTAACGTTGTACATCAAATATGCTATTAAAAAACATAGAATACTTTCTGCAGCAAAGCAGTTACGGCTGAAAGGGTTGCAATTAAAAATATATATAGTTCAAACGTCGGTAGTTGTACAAATAATTTATTTCTATGCAGTGGCAGACGAAGCGTTAAAAAAATGAAAGAAGAGCCGACCAAGCCGATCATCAAGTCAGAAAGCTATTATTTATGCGTATGGATCCAGTAGACATGTGTTTATAGGCACCATTAAAGAAAAAATTTTAGAAAAAATTTTATTTTTAATATATTATTTGTATCAAATATAATAAAATAACGGATGAATTATAGATTTTTCTTCAAATATCATCTTTTCCGTACATATTTTGAGACTGAAGACTAACATTATTAGTTTCTCCAATACCCAAATTTCTCCATGGCTTCAGAATTAGGTCAGCTTCATTTTGTTTTGATACCCTTAATGTCCCCCGGCCACCTTTTACCGATGATGGACATGGCTAGACTGTTGGCACAGCATAGGGTGATTGTTTCAATTGTTACCACACCCCTTAACAGCATCAGATTACAGTCCAGCATTGAACGTGCTATGGAGTCTGGTCTCCACATCCGACTTCTCCTGCTCCAATTTCCATCAGATGAGGCTGGCTTGCCAGAGGGGTGTGAAAACATGGACCAGCTTCCTTCTCGAGACTTGATCAAGAACTTTTTCAAGGCTGCTAGCATGCTACAAAAACCATTTGAGCAACTCTTTAGTGAATTACAACCCCGGCCTAGCTGCATAATATCTGGTAAGAATCTACCTTGGACTGTTGAAACTGCTATCAAGTTTAATGTTCCAAGGATTTTCTTTGATGGGATGGGTTGCTTTTCTTTCTCCTGTACTCATAGTCTAGAGGTTTCCAAGGTGCATGAAGCTGTCTCTAAGTTTGAGTCCTTTCTGATACCTGGCTTGCCTCATGGAATAGAATTAACAAAAGCTCAGTTGCCTGAAAACCTGAATCCTGGCTCAAACGATTTGACAAATGTTCGTGATAACATTAGAGCAGTTGAATTAATATCTGATGGAATTGTGGTCAATACTTTTGAAGAACTAGAGACTGAATATGTCAAAGAATATAAAAGAGTTAAAGGAGACAAAGTTTGGTGTATTGGTCCGCTTTCAGCTTGCAACAAGTTGAATTCAGACAAAGCTGAGAGAGGTCAGAAGGCCTCAATAGATGACAACCATTGTTTGAAGCCCTGGCTTGACTCAAAAAAACCTGGCTCAGTAGTTTATTCCTGTCTTGGTAGCATATCTGGCCTCACAACTTGGCAACTTGTGGAGCTTGGTTTAGGACTGGAAGCGTCAAATCAGGCATTTATCTGGGTTATAAGAGGAGGCAAAAGGTCAGAAGGATTAGAGAAATGGATTTCAGAAGAAGAATTTGAAGAGAGGATTAAAGATAGAGGACTTATAATCCGTGGCTGGGCACCGCAATTATGGATCTTGTCTCATCCTGCAATTGGAGGGTTCTTAACACACTGTGGGTGGAATTCAACCCTGGAAGGCATCTGTGCTGGTGTGCCAATAATAGCCTGCCCACTGTTTGCCGAGCAATTTTTAAACGAGAAGCTGGTTGTGGATGTGCTGGGAATTGGCGCAAGTGTGGGAGTTGAGGCTGCAGTCACATGGGGACTGGAAGAGAACTTTGGTTTATTGATGAAAAGGGAACAAGTAAAGCAAGCCATAGACAAAGTAATGGACAAAAGCAACATAGGAGAGGAAAGAAGCAAAAGAGCAAAAAAGCTCGGGGAGATTGCAAATAAGGCTATTGAGGAAGGTGGATCCTCTTATCAGAACATGGAAATGCTAATTCAATTTGTTCTTCAACGAACCAAAGGTGCCCAAACTAGTTCTTGAGCAAGATCAAAACACACCATTTCTTTTCCTTGTTTAAGAAGAGAACGCTTGAATGAAGTCAAATGAAAAGCTTCACTACTACTTTCACAACTAAACCTAGTAAATCTTGTGACAGAACATACATAGTCAGTTGATAGTAAATCTGGCTAGATCCGTTGAGTCGGGTTGGGTTCAGATCTAATTGCTTGAGTTTAAACATATTTCTCTCATTATATCAATGAAAAGAGAACACTTATCTGAAACTGGTACACTTTTGCTTTCATTGTGAATTTATCATATTCCACAACTTTAGGGGAAAGATCATAAATGCAATTACATTTAGATGAAATTGAATATATATATTGGACAAACAATATTACTATTAGAAACATTTAGTCGTTAAATGGATAAACAAAGTCTTTTTCTTTTATTAGAGATTATCAATAAACAATCAAAAATATTTTAGATATTTAGATTGACTTGACATGTTTAGGATATTGTCACTTTGTCCACTAAATGTCCTCATTTTCCTTCTTATAAATATGGACATCCAGCTATTATCGATATATTTTTTTTTTTTCTCCATTCAATTTTTTTTATATTAATTTTTTATTTGTGCGTCACAGTATAAATACAAAAAATACTCCCTACCTTTATTTCTCACCGTTTTCTTTTTTTCTTTGTGATTTCAGGTGTACCCTCAGACTCGAAACTGGGCACAAACAATTATCAAATGAAATCCTAGTTTCTTTCTCTTAGAGAAAAGATGAAAAAAAAAATCAATTTCCTTCAATCAAAAAATGTGCTTTTATAAAGCAGTACTCTTTAATCTTTTTCTTTTTGGATAAGTAATTATTATTCATTATCCAATAAGCAATAGAATTGCTACCAACCAACAAATACATGCTGTCGAACTTTTTACACCACAAATGAGTCCCTACTCAACTCTCATCTCTCACATAGTTCTTGGTTAACATAATCATAAGCTATATTTTTTAGGCCAATCAATCGTAATCTAACTACATCTTTGATTTTTCTCAATATTTGCTCCCTTGTGAGTTCCACTGACATGTATATGCGTGCATTCTTTTCTGCCTAAATCCAGTATACGTACGCCTCCCACGCCAATCGTAGTATGACTGAACCAAAGCTTTCCCTCGTAGCCTACTAACAGCCCACTGAAGCTCATTTTCCCATCCCTCAGCTTCTGTCTGTAAATTACACAGGTGCAGTACCTGTTGCCATACCCTCTTAGAGTATCTACAGTTGAAAAAAATGTAGTCTCTCCTCTCCTTCTCTTGCTTGCAGAGTACACAGCCCCCAGCAGTGTGAATTTCCTAGGAAACCAGTTGATCTTTCACTGGGAGCCTATTAAGGATAGCCATCCAGGTAATTACAGCATACTTTGGTATGTGAAATTTACACTAGACAAGCCGATGCCAATTTACTTTCATTTGCCTCTCTCTTATTTCTTCCCACACACTTGCAGTCGAGTAGCTATAACCTTTATTATTCCAAACTATTCCAATTTCTTTTTGTGTCAGAAATTTGCTTGCAAGACTTCTCATCTGAAGCAGCTTCCTCATACACCACCTATGACTTTAAGTTTCTGAAATTTCCCAAATGCTTCTTTCTTTTAGCACAAATATGCGTATCCATGCAATCCATAACAAGCCTGCTTGTGTAAAGATAGACCATAGAAACCTAAGCATATAGGCATTGTTCCACGCACCAACATCTCTTAATCTCAACCCTCCTTCTAACTTTGGCTCACATATTGCCTGCCATCTTACTCTAGCTCCCTTTGCTGTGCTTGATTGGCCTTTCCAAAAAAATACTGAACAGAGCTGGTTGATCCTCTTGATTACTTTTTTTAGAAAAACAAAATGGATGCACCAGTAGTTATGAATACTAAAAAGGACAAATAGGAACAACTGTAGTCTACCTGCATAGGACAAATATCTAACTGCCCAGCTATGAATTCTTGCTGTGATCCTCTCAATTAGTGGTATACAATCTATCATAGTAAGCCTTCGCGGCACTAGTGGAACCCCAAGATATCTAACGGGAAGTTTTCCCATCTTGATCCCCATGACTTTCAGGATTTCTTCAAGTTCAATTCCAGGAATCCTTGAATAATATATCTCACTCTTGGCACTATTTAGTTGTAGTCCATAATAAGTATAAAACTACTTTAATATGACTTGAATTCCTTGAACAGAATTGAACTTCCCTTTTGTGAAGATAAGGAGATTATCAGCAAAATATAAGTGTGGCAAGTTTACCTTCTTGCATTTGGGATGGTAAGAAAAAATGCCATAGAATGCAGCACTATCCAATAACCTATCCAAAACATTCATAGCAATAACAAATAAGTATGGTGACATAGGATCCCCCTACCTTACTCCTATTGGCCCCTTAAAATATCCCACCAAGCCTCCATTGATTGATAAAGAGAACATTGGTGAAGTGAGACAACTTTTTATCCAACCAATTAACCTTCTTAGAAATCCCATTGCCTCTAAAACTGAGATTAAAAATTCTCAATTTAAAGAATCGAATGCTTTCTTTAAATCAATTTTAATAGCACACCTTGGGGACATGGTAGCTCTACCATAACCTCTCACCAATTCCCGCGCCATAAATACATTGTCTGTGATGCTTCACCCTTTTATGAAGGTGCTTTGACTGTTGCTGTTTAGGGATAGCAGAAACTGTTGCATTCTGGTAGCCATTATCCTTGTTATACTCGTGTAAATAACAGTACAGCAGGATATTGGTCTATAATCAGAGATGCTGGCTGGAGATGGGTTTTTTGGTACCAAAGTTATTATTGTAGAGTTGAAAGCAGGTAGGATATCTTCAGTTCGAAAGAAATATGATATAGCTGCAATGACATCCTCCCCTACTATACTCCATGCAGGCTTGAGAAATGGGCATTGAAACCATCAGGGCCCAGCGCTTTATCACTATGTTGAGCAAAAATAGCTTCCTTAATTTCTTCCCTTGTAACATTTTGTGATATTGCATTTCGCTGCTCATCCGTTAAGGATACCCAGAGTAAGTCAGTTAACAACTCTTTCTTGTAGGCTTCAACATTAGCATCAGTTGTGCCCAGCAACTGCTTAAAAAATCCTACCGCCTCATCTGATATCTATGAGAAGGTATCCAACATGTTTCCCTTATTGTCATGCAGTACCCGTGTGATTGTACCTTTAATAAACGTATCAGCAAGGAGCCTGCTCATTCAAAACAAGTCTCCCTCAAATAAAGATTTTTTTTCTTTCTTCAAAATGACCATTGAAAATAGAATTGAAACTAACCATGCAAGCTGCTTGGAAATGTTAGGAGGCTGGCAATGAAAGAATCCCAAACTCGCCTATCCTTTTCCTTGATGAGTAGGTATTTATGTAGACGTATATGAAGATATATATAAATCAAGAAATGTTGGATAGAATCTATGCTTGTTGACCATATCTATCTTGGACTAGTTTATTATCTGCATTATTACCTTGGTTCTTTTCTTGTGCTTCATATTTATTTATAGTCTCACTAAATCTTGGACATGTAAAAAATTTTACCTCATCTTTAAGATCGTGAATTGGACATGTAGAAGATTTTACCTTATTTTTAAGATCAACTGCTTAAAAAATCCTACAGCCTCATCTGATATGTATGAGAAGGTATCCAACATGTTTCCCTTACTGTCATGCAGTACCCGTGTGATTGTACCTTTAATAAACGTATCATCATGGAGCCTGCTCATTCAAAACAAGTCTCCCTCAAATAAAGATTTTTTTTCTTTCTTCAAAATGACGGTTGAAAATAGAATTGAAACTAACCACGCAAGCTGCTTGGAAATGTTAGGAGGCTGGCAATGAAAGAATCCCAAACTCGCCCATCCTTTTCCTCGATGAGTAGGTAATTTATGTACACATATATGAAGATACATATAAATCAAGAAATGTTGGATAGAATCTGTGCTTGTTGACCATATCTATCTTGGACTAGCTTATTATCTGCATTATTACCTTGGTTCTTTTCTTGTGCTTCAGATTCATTTATAGTCTCACTAAATCTTGGACATGTAAAAAATTTTACCTCATCTTTAAGATTGCCAATTGGACATGTAAAAAATTTTATCTTATTTTTAAGATTAAGATAAACCATCAACTCAATTATTCATTAAACTTTTACATGTGAATTTTTTAGACTTATAAATCATTTATCCACAAGATATTATAAAAAAACTTGAACCTGAATCTTATAAACAAAGTGCTTTATCATTATGTTGAGCAAAAGTAGTTTCCTTAATTTCTTCGCTTGTAACTTTTTTTTTTATTTAAATCAATGTTTAATTTTTAATTTATATTCAAATAAATTTTTATTTCAAGCAAAAGGTTAATTTTTTTGTTAAAACCAATGTCAGCTGAATTTTTTTGTTTTTGTGAAAATTAATCAATAAAACTCAAAATTATTAAAATTATTAAAAAATTAAAAATCAAAATTTCTTTCTTTCTTTTCTTTAAATTTTTTTTCGATTCTCAATCGAGAGAATATTACTTACAATTAATTATAATTGAGTATTATGTATAAAAATTATCTTTTGTTTTAATTGAGCATTACTTACAATTAATTATAAAAAGAATTATATAAAGTTTACATTTTTAAGTGACGAATCTTTACGATTAACTAATTTTAAAATTATAATAAAAAGAACTGCAGTTGAAATGCTTTCTTCTCAAAATTAATTTTAACCAAATGTAGGAGTAGGACGAACCCCAAATGATTTTTAAGCCTAGAACTATTGTAGGTCAAACTTATCGACACTGTACCAGTGGCTCAAAATCATTCCCAAAGTGATGATAATGATTTTCGTTTATGTTTGGCCGATGAATTGACCTGTTTTGTGTCCTTAAGGGCGCTGCCATTGAGACTGTTTCATGACGAGAGTATTTTAAATATAATTATTGTATATAATTAGTCAATTATAATTTAAAATTATGTAAAATTTACATTTAATTTTCGTTTATGTTTGGCCTATGAATTGATCTGTTTATGTCCTTAGGGGCGCCGCCACTGAGACTGGTACATGACGATCGTAGTTTAAATATAATTATTGTATATATAATTAGCCAACTATAATTTAATTATGTAAAATTTACATTTATAAATAGTAGATGTTTACGTAAATTTTTATTATAATTAAATAATTATAAGATTATGATAAACAAAATGATAGATGTTTTCATTGTTGTCGGGAAGTAAATAGTATAATTTTTTCAAATTTGGATTATAGCAAAATCTATTATTAAATTTGTAATTATAAATTTATGATTTAAATTTTTTGTTATTTAAAATTATTAAAGTTTAAATTCTAGTCACTGAAATTGAGAGTTAACATTCTACTAATCGTTTATGCATATATTACACTAACATAATATATGTAAATAGGTTGGATTAGTTAATAACTTATTCGATTTATCTTTACTTAGTATTTATCTATATGTTTTGATATTATCACTTCAAATTTGACAAATTTATTCTATCAAAAAAAATTTTGACGTATTTATAGCAATTAATAATAATAATTATAATAATAATATGTTAATTTCATGTTTTGATTATCTCGTGCAATTCTATTTTTTTTATTCCGATTTTTTTTTAGTTACTAACTCAATGTACTTCGCTTTTATGTGTGATTAGCATCTTTTACACATTTATACAAAGAAAGAGATTCATTCGTATCATAGATAATTTGTAAGACGACGATCCTAAAAGGAATGGATGAAATATATATATATATATATGTTGTATCAATGAAGAATTCTAAGAATTCATATTTTTCTTAATCAATCCAAAAAAAAATCATCTTTGAATTTTTTGTGCAGAATAAAAAAATTAATTAAATTTAAAATTGGGTCGAGTGAATAAATGAATATTATTATTATCATTATTATTATTATTATTATTATTATTATTATTATTATTATTATTTAATCAAATAAAAATTCCAAAAGACTAACTTATCTTAAAAAAAAAAATCACTTTCTTGGTTTTTGATGTGGTATACATATCATCACTTATAGAGTAGAGATAAGCAAATTCTCGTTATAAAGGAGGAGCAATCTAGGACCTCTCACGTTCAACACCAAACAATCCTTCCATGGCTTCCTCAAACCAGCAGCCAGTTCATCATTTCCTTCTTGTCCCTCTAATGTCCCAAAGCCATCTCATCCCCTTCACAGACTTGGCCAAAGTACTTGCAGATCATGGCCAGCAAGTTACCATTGTCATGACACCCCTTAATGCAGCCCGGTTCAATAATGCAATCATTGACTATGCCATGAATTTCAACCTCAAAATTCAGTTTCTGCTATTGTCTTTTCCTGGACAAGAAGCTGGATTGCCTAAAGGATGCGAAAATTTGGACTCACTTCCTTCTCTAGACCTAACAGCAAAATTCTTCCAAGCTAGCAATATGCTACATGAACCTTTGGAGAAATGGCTTCAGGATTTAGAGTCGCTTCCCAGTTGCATAATTTCTGACATTTGTCTTCCTTGGACTTCAGATCTCGCTCTCAAGTTCAAAATTCCAAGGGTTGTGTTCCATACAGTTTCTTGCTTTACTCTCCTTTGCTCTCACAATATTAAGCGCTACGAGGTTCAAGACGGAATCACATCTGATTCTGAGCCTGTTTTGGTACCAGGCGTACCAGACAGAATTGAATTCACTAAGGCCCAATTGCCTGAATCCCAGAGAAAAAGTTCGGATGATTTGAATAACCTTGTAAACCAATTTAAAGAAGCAGAACTTTCGGCAAGTGCGGTGCTGGTGAATTCTTTTGAAGAGATGGAATCAGGGTATGTGAAAGCATATCAGAAATTTGTAAACAACCTTTGGTGTATCGGGCCGCTTTCTTTGTGCAATGAAACGACATCAAACAAGTTACGGACGGGTAACAAGACTTCCATTGATGAGCATGAAAGCTTAAACTGGCTTAATTCCCACAAGTCAAGATCTGTAATTTATGTTTGCTTTGGTAGCCTGTCTCACATGTTGCCTCCACAATTAATAGAGCTTGGGTTGGGATTAGAAGCCTCAAATTGTCCATTCATTTGGACCATAAAAAAGATAGATTATACACCAGAACTAGAGAAATGGTTCAAGGAGCAGAGATTTGAAGAGAGGATTAAAGGGAGAGGTCTCATAATCCGAGGATGGGCTCCTCAAGTTCAAATATTGTCACATCCAGCAACAGGAGGTTTCTTCACACACTGTGGTTGGAATTCAACGATTGAAGGAGTAAGCGCAGGTTTGCCAATGATAACTTGGCCGATGTTTGCTGAACAATTTTACAATGAGAAGTTTGTAGTTCAAATACTGAAGATTGGTGTCAAGATTGGGGTTGAGGTACCCATGAATGCAAAGGTGCTAACGGTGAAAAGGGAAGACGTAAAAAAGGCTATAAAGCAGCTGGTTGATGGAGGAGATGATGCAGAAGAGAGAAGGAAAAGAGCCAAAAAACTTGGAGAGATGGCGAAAAGGGCAGTTGAAAAAGGAGGTTCTTCTTACTTGAACGCAACATTGTTGATCGAACATGTAAATCAACAGGGCAAGTCGTATCAGAGGTGATCAGCCCAAGCTAAAACATTGCTGCTCGCAAAAGCTAGCACAATTCTATTACTACACGTTGCAATTCCTAGGTATCATCGTCGCATTGGCTCACAAAACGCGGTAAGGCTGAACGGGTGAGACATGATGGACGTGAGTAAGATATGTATGGGCCACAATATTGTGATGTTTGTCCGTTTACTGTTGATTTTAAGCCTCTTTTTCAAGAGTGATGGGATGTTTGTTTAGCATATCTATATTGAGCAACCCTACGATATCTATATTGGGCAACCCTACGACTTTCCAGAGTTTATGATTAACAGACAGGCAGGAAGATTTAAACTTTAAAATATGCTTTTTTCATCCAGAGATCTATTTTTTTCTACACATAGTAATAATTGTGTTAGAGATAAAATCGCTTGACTTTTTGTGCTAAAAACGGTAGTGATCGGGTTTTTACTTCTAATTCATCCAAGACCGTACTCCAGGAGTATTCATGGTCAGTGGTTTTGTTAAAAAGGAAATCATTGTTTCTAAAATCCCAAACGTCGAAGCAGAAAGGAAGGCCACCTACACTGAGCTTTTTTGTACTTTTAAGATCAAATAAAATTTCTGATTCAAGCCAATAACTCTCTTTCTGGTTTATATCCTCTTTCAGACGTTTATTCAACAATGTGGTGAAACCGAAAAAAAATAAAAGAAAACTTGTAGAAAAACTAGCTTTCAACACCTATAGACATCTGTCCAGTTTTCTTCCCATTTCCTTAGAAGAAAAGGGATCTGATTTTGTGTATTAGTTGGTAATAAACAAAATTCGAACAGAAATCCCACTGTATTCCTAAACAACTTAGAGATAAAACCAAGAAATCAAATATAAACCCTAGTAATTTGAAATACCTATTCACTATTCTGCCAAATTCAAGTCCTGTGCCTGGCTGTTTCGCTTATAGTAGGGTCAGAAAATTTTAACAGCACTTCACATTGGAGCTCCTTCCAGTTCACAACTGAGCTCACTACTTTATCTTGACCTTAAAGTAACAGTGAATAACACATTTATGTACCTCAATATCTATGTTCATGCACAAATTAAATAAATAAAAAAGAAAAAAAATACACAGAAATGCACTTTTTCCTTCTTACCGTTAGAAAAATAGCTCACCCTTAGTCCACTGAATTATATAACTCTGTAGGTTCTGTGCTATTAACAACCTGACAGGGAGGAACTTCTTTCTGTAGCATCGAAGTTCCTTTGAAAATCACCATCTGGCTGCAGGATTTTTTATACTCACTAAGCTGCAGCAGGATGCATATGTAAAGTTTCAGTAACATATGTAAAGTTTCAGTAACACTGGCAGGCAGGTTGAACAACAGAATATGAGTAAATTATGATGAATTGACAGACCTGGTCTGGACTTAACTTCTTGAAACCAAATTTATCTATCCAGATTGATTCTGCTTCTTCAGCAGCTGGAAGGACAAGGTTTTTGACATTCAAGATTGTTAACAGCTTCTCAATACAAGAGAACAACAACTGGAAGTAGCCCTGTAAGGTAATTTAGCTCCAATAAATCAAGATCAAGGAGAATGATATTAAAACAGGCAATAAAAGATACAGAAACTGTTCAAGTATATAATTTCCTTAAAAAAAAATCATAATTTCCTTAAACCACATGGAATTAAATGGCAAGCATAGGAAAAGCAACTCCAAGGAGTCCGCAAGAAGGATATTCTTCAGACCGTTTAGTAGGCTAGCAACAATTCCAAAAACTTCCAGTTTGTCACTGGAGTCATCAAAATTACAAAGCCAGAAAATTGCAGACAATTGGAAATCCAGTTGACTAGAGCCATCTAAAAGAGGTGGGAATTGCAGGCAAAGGTTATAAAAACAAAACTTGAGACCATTAGCCTCACCTTCCCATGGTTAGTAATGCTTGTAGCAACTAAAGGGAGTTCTGCAATTTCTTGCCCAAAAACTCGAATTATTCCAGCTGATACAACGAATGAGCTGCAGCATTAGCAAAAGAGAATATTGTCAACATTCTAATAGCAAAGGCATTTAAAGCTTCAAATGTTATGCAAATGTCTTACTTGACTGTCAATACTGCACAGTACATTCCCCCATATTCTTGGCCCTTTAAATTCCTTCTGTGAGAGAGAGGGCGAGAAAGAAAGATGAAAATTTGTCAAAGAAAAAAATTGGAAAGCAAACTCATGTTAGTATGCAACCAGCTATATCAAGCACTAGAAGAGATCTCATGCTTACCCATAAACCATGCATGGGATAAGGTCCCGTCCAGTTGTTGCATCAACTATAGGGTTGAAACATTCCTTGACAAAAATAAAGGAAAAAAGAGAAAAAAAATGAGCAAATTTCAGTGAAACAAGGCAACCCATGGCTCCAGACATCTTCTACGTTTAGACAAATAAAACATAGCCTATGACTTGAGTAGCATATCAATCAGTGTCCCACAAGACCAAATTATCTTACACTAGAAAATCCCAGTTTGAAACGAAACATGCAAATCACAGCTACATTTTGCCAAGCAATGTTTCAGATTGGCAGGATAAAATCCTTGTTTAATAAATCTGGTTGGAAATGTACATTTACCATCCCATATCCCCCAAAAGCCTTTAAAGCAGCTCCTCCACTGCAGAGGCATCAAAGCAGCTATCAAGCATCATTTTGTTTTCTAGCCAGAGAAAAAAAATGCATCCGTTTATCAATTCTTTTGGCTTGATGGATATATACTCTTATGAAATTAAATTGGTACAATAATTTTCTCTTTTTGTATATAGTATCAATGTGCAACACGCTCCAGGATAATAATAATGTCCAAGCAAGGTATATTAAGATGCCTCCAAATTTTAGTGATAATAGAACAGTAAAAATAAATAGCTAACGACAAGGAGAAGCATATTCTAAGAAAATAAGTGATAAACATACATTAACTATATAAACTCAGTATTTTGCCCTTCCCTACTACTGTAGCAGAAGGTAAAAAGAAAACTAAAAGACAAAGAAAAAGAGGAAAGAATGAGGTGAGGCCAAGAAGCATAAAACTTAGTTACAGTGCCACTGATGTTTTCATGCAACACATTCAACCGGGAGAGCATACTTTCCAAATATATACTTGGAAACAAACATATAATAATTGCACTCATTACAGAAAAACATTGCATGGCCAACGTTTATCAACAGTGGCAACAACCATTGATCATAGAATGAAACATCTAAAAACAACATGTACAAGACTTACATGGAAAATGCCAACAGCTTGGGAAAGCAATAATCTAGTTTCAGGAGAAGCAAATTTGCCACTAAGAAGCCTCCACCTCACGTCAATATTGATATCACCATCTAAACCCTTTTCCACATACTTCTTCTTTATAACATCCAAAAGGGAGTCCGGAAGCTTTTCTGCTCCATGAATGAGCAACTTCTGCAGCGTAGAATGGATTCTACTGCAATCTGAGCAGCAAAACCACTTCCCTCTTGGTATTTCCTATTGTACAAGTGGCATCAGTATTTCCATCCATTAACAGAATAATGCGTCCAACAGAAAGGAATGAAGAGTTACATGTCAAATAATAAAGGAACGACACCAGTAAATAGTAATACATACCCTTAGATCAGCCATTTTATGAGTCCTCAAACAGCCAATATGATATTCTTTCTCGCACTAATCCAAAATTATTTTTAAAAAAGACGCACAAATCAGTGGAAATACAATTAAAAAGACAAATGTTTAGAACACTTGACGGCCAATATATAAAACAGGATGAAATGCAAAATTAACATTATACCTGATCACACAGTATAATTGTCCGAGGACCAAAACCTGATTTGCTAAAATCACATGCCCTAAATAAAATAAAATCAAAGAAACAACAATTTCAAGTCAAAATCAAAGGGTATTGCAGGAAGAACTAAAGAAATTTATGGAAATATCACAATGAAAAATATCCACACAAGCTGTATAAGAACAGTTTTCATGAACTGTACGCTTCAATCGGATTCATCAGAGTGTGTATTCATCACCTGCATAATGCACATCCACTAAGTTCTGCCTCAATGTTTTTCACAATACGTATACATCTGCTGCTTATTTGTTCTATAGCATCAACTCCTAAAATCCTTCCAGCAGCAACAGCATTAACATTATGCTCCCCAAACTTTTCTCTCATAAACATGTTCTGGCAATATTTGCAGTACCAGGGACCATGGGGAATCATTGGTAGAGATGCGCATTCTGCATAGATCAATAAAATTGCTACTCAATATCAATCAGATAAATCAGAGCTATAAAATTAATCTTCAGAGGCAACTATTATAGTTTTTGACATGTCACAGAAAACTAAACCACAATAACAAAACCATCTTGTTCAAGATTAAGAAACAAGAGACTGAATCTCAATATGTGGAAAAATGAAAAGATATACCTGAAACCATGTTTCAAATTTTCTTAAAGTTTAAAATAAAATGTCTAGCTAAAGTAAATGTGCCAGGCAAAATGCCAATAAAAACATCAAATCACATGCACCAGAGAGACCAAGAGAGAATACAGCTATGTTAATATGTAATGCCATTGACTGAGTTGGCATCCCAACACCTCAGTCTCTGTTTACTAATTAAAAGAGTTGATCTTTCATCCAACTCAAATTCCATCTCTCTTGTTTATTTTCTTCTCTCCCTCCCTTTCTTTGAATAAAATATTCCATTAAAAAATCATACTGCATATTTAAGAAACTGTATTTTTTTTTCTTTTCTCCTTATTATCTTCTCTTGGTAAAATATATAAATTCTTTATCATCTACACAGTCAATGCCACGAGTCTAGTACAGTAAATCTCATGCATATTCAGAGATGGATATCAGTCACAGGAACTAAAGACCTCAGACCTAATTATCATTCTTAATAATACAGAAAAGCATAACTGCTCATATCAATCCCTAAAACCCAAAGACAAATAAATAAAACCTTACAGTGTCCAAAAACCACCACAGAGTACCGCTATGAAACCAATAAAACAAGATCAAACCACCCATCCCTGCATCTCCTATTTAAAATGAAAAGAAAGTCTTAATGTACAGTCGAACCTTTATGGAAGGCCCTTGGGCATCCATCACAAAGCAAAAGATCTCCGCCATCGGCACAAATGATGCATGCATCATCATTATCCTTGGCAGAATAACGACGACCTTTTGAGAGAGATATTGCCAGTTCATGCAGAGACACCCCATTCGATGTGAAAATGTATGCATAGCTGCCAGAGTACACAAATATAATCAAGACATTCTTAACAAAGATAAAGTAACTTAGGAAGGAAGCCGTAAAGCAACTAATATGAAAACATACGGTTTTCTACGAGACGCCCAACCAGCATGAGCTTCAAACTGTGAGGGGCTAACCTGCACAATAAAAAGGAAATAGCATAAACAGACACACAATGCAATTTCATAATTCTGAAGCTCAAACAATAAAAGCACAATACCTCACAATTGCAACAACGACAAATTATCCCAAAGCCCTTTTTGTAACCCTCAAGCAATCTCTGCCCATTAAAACTAATCACATTTACACACCACTGAGATACAAAGGCATAAAATAAATTATTTTTATCTCATTTACCTGTCCACGAGCATAGTATGCGACTTCAGTTCCATCAGGCAATCCATCTTCCTCAAATACCAGCTTATGCAAACGCTGATCTCTATGGAAAAAACAATTCCAATAAGAGAAGAAGATTACATCAGAAAAGGAAAGAAAGAGCTTAGCCTAGAAATATATTAAAAAGGTACCAACTTCGTTGTCATCTTCCATTGACTTCCAATGGCCGAATTCATTGGTGATGAGACACCTTTCAAGGTCTTTGACATCAAAACCGGTTTCACTGGCCTATGAAATTGCAATAAAAGCACAAAAAGGGAATAAATTAAGTATGAAGAAAGTACCAGAAGAAGCTTCACTGAAAACGGGTCCTTTTGTCTCAAAACAGAAGTCAGAAACACAACACCATAAAGTAACAAAAAGGGGATAAAAAAATTATACTAACTTCTTTTTTATTCTCCATTGGCCCTTATCTTGTGAGGGAATATCCACTGAAGAACTCTTCAAAGACTTTGTGAATAACCCTGGTTTCGTTAACCTGGAAATAATACAGATGGAAGCATGATGCACCAACTAAAAACTATAAAAAAGGAACATTACTTAAAGTTTAAACTACCACCTAGCACTATAGAATTTCCAAATAGAACTATTTACTTCCATGAACGGAAAGAAAATGGTTAAAGACAGAATTATGAAAATGGAAATGACAATGGTAAGGCATAATTTGTCACCAACTTTCTTGTTGTCTTCCATGGACTCCTATATTGTAAAGAACTAGATAATGAAGCATATTGTGGTGAATTTGACGTCAAATAGAGATCTAATGACCTGAAACAATGCAGGAGGCACATGAAAAAAGGCATTAAATAGCATTAATGCATCTCATTTCAAAAAAATTTTATTGATGGCCTATTTATGAACCAAAAAGGAATGCAAAAGATGGAACAAAAAAATAAAAAAAAATCAAAAAGGAGGCACTAACTTGCTTGCTTTCTTCCTTTGACTTTTATTTTGTGGAGACATACTCAATGATGCACTTCCAAAGGACTGTGACATCAAAACAGGTTCTTGTGATCTGAAATAACACAAAAATAAAACATATAAAATAAGGAATGTCGATGTTAACACCAGGAACTAACTAATACACGTTAAGAAAATTTACATCAACAGCGCATTAAAATTTACTTTCTCGTTATCTTCCATTCACTAGGGGATTGTGGAAAGATACCCATTGAAGCAGTTCCAGAAAAATGTGAAATCAATACTGGTTCTCGCAATCTGAAATAACACAATGCTACCATATAAAACAATTTATCTAGACATTAATACCGGAAACAAACATTATTCTAGTATTTCATTACAACTTCAGTTATGTTTAATTTCATACTGTGATTCAGTTTCATATCCTCCGGAGGAAAATGAATAAATTGCATTTCTCTGAAGATATATGCATATTAAATAATTCAGTCAAATAAACTTAACATGCCTAATTTTCTACTTTTATCAATAAATTATAGCCAAATGGAAAATCAACCCATCGATAGCATACAAACATTTGAATCTAACACCTTAAAGGGCATTACGTGGAAATGAATTGTAATAAATGCTGAGGTATCAGCAAGAGATAGTGCAGATTAAAAATAGTTTAGCACATCAAACAATAAAATACAAAATTCAAAAACCTGAACAGTGCAATGGTCAAACAAATATAAAATTCAAGTAGTGATGAACATTAAGGTCCCTAACCAACCAAATTCTTTAGCAGAAGAGACATCAATTACTAATTTTTTACAAAGAAAAACTTAAATAATGCATACCTAGCTCCCGCACTGGGTGCACTCACTGTGCTGCACTGAGATTTCTTGGACTCCACACATGAATTGCAAAGTGGCCCTATTTGGCCAACATGTATTACAGGAAATGAACCTACAAAATTAAGTGAATGACAAAAAGAATAAGATTCCAATACAATCAAAATCATTCTCCTTACTTGCCTCTGTCAGCAATAATGAATTTAATAAGACAAGAGTCACCTTTGCATCTTCTACAAGTGAAACATTTTTGCTCTGGTAAAGCACTAAGGATATTTTGAATTGTTGCTTCCAACGTATGCAGAGGTCTTCTCCTGCATGCTCTCAACACCTCAAGAAGGCTCTTCCCATTTTCAAAACAGATATACTGTGCTGCACGTTTGTATTGTTTACAAGCATGTATCTCAAATTGGGAAGGTGGAACAACCTAAAAAGGGAAACAAAATGGCAGCAAAAAATTTAATAATAGCAATTATCAATTCATGGAGTTACACAGAGTTGCAAACTACAACTTAGGAAAGAGATTCTTACTCTGCGCCCCTTGCACAAGGAACACGAACACAAAATTCCTCCATCTGTAATGATGCCCCGAAGACCAGATGTCTGAAATTAAAATACCACTCATATTAAGCCTTATGCTATGCACTACATATAAATTCCAAAGTAAAAGAACAACAAACAGGAACCATATGTTCAAAAAAATATAAAAAATAGGGGCATCAATGAACCACCTTACTACTTATTGTACCCATGTAAACTACTGGAACCCCGTCGAGTAAACCAGTGTCAAAGAGCTCTTTAACTGTCATTGGGCACTTATTAAGGGCAATCTTTTTTGACATTTTCAACTCCAAATTCTTCCTTGGAGTCATCAATCCACTTCCTTCAGCTGCTTCCTCTACACCAAAATTTGAAACTAAAACATTTTCAGCAGTCTGTTTTTCGCACTCCAAACTGTCCGCTGCTTCAACCTTTGGTCTCAATAATGATCGTTTAGGCCGCCTCAGGGCCTTCAAGGGTAAATCATTCTCTCTGTCACTACCATCAACATTCTGCATTGGAGATCCTTCAAAACCTCCCTTCTTAACCAAACACGACTCCAGCTCATTCATCGACCCCTCTTTAGACATTACCATTGCCAAATTATAACTAGACACTTGACCAAGCCTAGCTTGAACAACAGGACTATCATCTATTCCAATTTCCTCAACTACCAGGTTCCCTACAATGGCATTTTCTCCAATAATACGGCTCTCTTGAATTGAAGCCTCTACAAGTGTACCCCCTTCACCAATATCTCGATCAACTAAGTTCTTATCAACCACATTTTCTACTACCAAATTTTCTGCCGCTACATTTTTATTCCCTTGCCTACATCCAATTACACCTTCAATTACATTGTTCACATCACTTGCTTCAATCAAAGCTTCGTTCTTTTTATTCTCACCAATTAAAGACTCTTTAACACCAATTATTGGCTTATTAAAGTCATCGAGCTTTTTGTTTTCTAAATTCTCCGAAAATTCATCACGGCAATTAATTCTTGACTTTTTGACTCGAGTGTAAACAATGTAACCATTCACTTGAGTACCTTTAACTCTTTTACAACTAGTACTATAACTCGCCTGATTTTGAGACAGAGCCCCTGACTCCTGAGTTGGATCGAGTGAACCCTCCAATCCGAAATCCAACTCCCGCTTCATGCCTCACTCACTTCACTCTCAAGATCCACTAAAATTCTGCAAAACATATAAAAATTAAAAACAAAAAGTTTTAAAAAAAATCACTAACCAAATAAAAAAAAAGAAAATTCTAGAAACTTAGCGGCGATAGAGTGATGATTTTACCGATTACGATCAGATAAGAGCCATGACAGATTTGATTTTGAGTGAGGAAAGCGAAAATTTTGAGGGGGAAACTAAAACGGAGGATTTCGGGATCGTATTCGAGGAGATTTAGGGTTTTTGATTTAATACTTTTGGATTTAAAGAGGAATCTGAAATTTTGGGGTTGTCGCTGGGAGATGAAACCGACCACTACCAGCGTCGAGGATTTTAAGGGGAAGGGGCAAATGGCAGGATCCATAAATAACACAAAGTATAAGGTTATATGAATTGACGATAGTAGCCCTAATTGATTCAAGAGGAGTGTGATTCAGGCCTGCTTGTTTATGTTTGCTGAGACCTGTTAGGCCCACTGTACTGGTTTTTTATTTGGGCTACCGAATAAAAGGGTGTCAATTTATTTTTTTTTAAGATATGAGAAATTATGTATAATTAAATAAAATATATATCAAATGTTCGAGTTTGTTGATGAAACTTTCCTTTAACAAAAAAAATTTTGGGATCAGATGATTATTTGTTAAAATTATCTCAAATATATAATTTATAATCATTTATTTTATATTAATAAATATAATATATTTTATTTTTATATAAAAAATTAAATAATCTATTTACTTTCAAATTTTTCATATCAAAATAAAAAATTATTGATAAAAAAAAAAAAGGAAATTCCATCCCAGGCCCATTGTAGGGTACTTTAAATTGTACAAATTAAGTCAAATTAATCGCTCCTTTTTTAGTAACTAGAGCTTAACCTACGTTACGTTGCAAGAGTTTTGTTAATGATTTTAAGTAGGAAAATATTAACTCAAAGTTAGTGAAATCCTATGATTAAGATTTTGCTATTAAAAATGGGTATTGCATTAAAAAGCTTGAAAATTATTTTGCGCAAGGTTTTAATATTGTAGGATATTTTCATTTAATAATAACTGACTGTTCTCTTAATAATAAAAAGATGGCAATTCACAATTAACTAAATTAAAAAATGTATATTTTTATAATTCAATTGAAACTATCAAAATCATAAAGTTCAAATGTACCTTTTTCATACAAAATTAAAGATAAATCTGCAAATGAAGAAAATACTTTTTAAAAAATAAAAAAAATCAAGAAACGTAATATTTTCAACACATTTAAAAAAAAAAAAATACCACAGGCTATAGTTGGGAGGTTGAAAATACAAAAAAGGAAGTAATAAATAAGAAAGAATATTATTTGAATCAAAAGTATAAAAAACTAAATCAAGCAATAAAGGAAGATAATTAACTTTGTAAATACAAAGAACTACAAACTAAATCGAAAGTAAAAAATTAAAATAATACGTAATAATAACTAAAACAACATATCACATGGTTGAACTTATCTAAAGATAAATCTCAACATCATGGTAAAATACATATAATTACACATTCATTGAGTCTATTGTTATTTTTTAATTTCATTGATAATATATGTTTTATGTAATTTATTAAGAAAAATAAACTGCATGTAGGCAAAAAAATATTTGCATATACAATATGTAGCCTTAAACAAAACAAATGATTATCCGTATAATGCAATCAAATCTTGCATCTGTAATTGTAAAAAAAAATTTATTGTATTTGAGATTATTATCATACATAATCACTCAAATCTTATTATCTCAAATAATTATTAACGACATACTTAAAAAATTTATTTGAGTTGAAGAGAGAAAATAAATATCTATTTTATGTAAATTCAAAAACTTCTAATGATTTATCTTTTGTAGAGACAACTCAAGTAAGATTGCTATAACAAAGATTGTAAAACGTGAGCGTAATAGAGGAGAAAAGTAAACACTGTGAAAGAACGCAGTTATTAAAGAAGTTATAGAGATTCGAAAAGAAAATTATTGAAGCATCAATTTTACCAAGAGAATCAAACAAATCCTCAGTGCAATCTTTTTGCATCATATAATATATATATATATATATATATATATATATTAAACTTGACAATTCATGTCACTTTGTTATGTAAAATATTATATTTGTATTACATTTTATACGAAAATCACATGTCATAATTTGTGTCAACATAAAAATAAAAAATATAATTTTTTATTTTATTAAACATATTTATGAGTTTTGTAAAATCTTTAAATTGTGTTATCTACATGTTTTTTTATTCGTATAATTTTCATGTTACGTAATTTTATTATGTTTTAAATTATCAAATCTAATATATATATATATATACGGACATATTCAATTAAACAAAGATAAAGATATAAATGAGAAAGTAACTTGAGACCTCATGTTCACCTTCCAAGACCCGGATAATTTTATTAATTGTATAATCTTCGTATTCAATATTAATGAACATTACCTCTATAAAACAGTGCATGGGCAAAATGTTGTATAAACATTCCACTTGCAAAAATAAAAGTAAAGTTTCTTTTAATTTGAAAGCTTTTCTTTGTTAATTAACTTAATTGGGATTCATGGATTGTAGACCTAACTCCTTAAAGTAAAGTTAAAGAGTAGTAGAAAAAATATAGTTATTAAATAAGCCAAAGTTTAGAAAAGAAAATTATTGAAACGTCAATTTCATCGAGTTAATTAAACAAATTCTCATTCCAATCTTTTTGCATCATATAAAATATTAGCATATATGTCTATTCAATTAAACAAAAATAAAAATATAAGTGAGAAAATAATTTGAGATTGCAACCAAACCTCATGTTTACCTTCCAAGACCTTGACATTTTTGTTAATGGTATAGTCTTCATGTTAAATATTAATGAACATGATTACCTTAATAAAACATTGCATGGGCAACATATTGTAAAAGTTAGTCAATTATTCATCACTCAACTTAGAAAAATAAATGTAAAATTTCTTTTAATTAGTGCAATATCATAATTAGGGGTGTAATCGAGTCGAGTCAAGTCGAATAGTTAGAAGCTCGAGCTCGACTCACAATTTGAGGCTCGATATTCGGCTCGAGCTCGATCGAATTTTATTTTTCAAGCTCGAGTTCGATTCGTGATCGAATTTGAGCTACTCGAACTCGCTCGATTAAGCTCGATTAATATGTAAAAATAAACTCGATTCGTATACTCGACAAAAGTTTGATTATTTATGCTCGAACTCGAAATATTTTATTGATTAAAATAATAAAAATATATTTAAATATAAAAGCTCGATTAGGCTCGCGAGCTACTCGAGTCAAATATAAGAATACTCGAATTCGGCTCAATTGATAAGTCGAGTTACTCGAGCTCGAACTCGACTCGAAAATAATCGAACCGAATTCGAGTTTTTTTCGAATCGAATTCGAATAGCTTGCGAGTACTAATATATCATTTATATCTTCAATCATAATTGATTAATTTATCAAAGAACAATCTTTGAGACCTTAATTACTCCTTTATTACTGTTTACAAATCAATCATGATATTGCTCAAAGACTTATAATTAACTTATAAGCTGATATCATAGGTCAAGCTCCTATGATATTGCAATATCATAAGCCAAGTTCCTTTGGTATTAACAAACTTTTAAATAGCTAAGACTTATAATTAATTTAATATAATACTTACTAATAATTGGACATTCGTACTGGGCTTGTAACAGGCACCTCAGCTTTAGCAGCCTTTGGAACAAAGCCACTTGATTATTGATTAACTAATATAGTTTTAATTCGATTTCTATGTAAACAGTTCCTGTTATCATAAGAAATGCAAAAAATGCACGAACTAAATTATATAAAAATGGAGAAAAGCATAAAAAACAAAAATTAAAAGGAATTTTAAAAATAATGTAATAAAAAATTAATCTCGTTTTTCTTTCTCTTTTATCACTGCAAATTTCCAACACCGACAATCATTCTTTTCCCTCCCTCGTTGGTTCGTAGATTAGCATCGGAACCCATACCAATTAGGATTCTTGCATTGGGTTTAGCCACCAATTGCCAAATCGAGATTAATCTTTGACCTAATCAAGCGATTGTTGGTATTTGATTTCCTTTCTCTTTTCTCTTCCTTGTTTCTTTGTTTTTCCCAACCATCCCCCTCCGTAAGCCAACGTCGAAACCCACGTCGATTAAGATGCTTGCATCCAGTCTAGTCATAAAGACTGATCTTTTAATCTCCCTCCATAAGAATACCTAAGCAGTCATGATCTTTTGAAACAAACGACTATTTCAATTCACCACCATCTGTTAGAAATAATTTTAGAACCCAAATATAAAAAATTAAAATAATTTTCCAAATATAACAAAATTAGAGTAAAATATTATTTTTCTTATCTTTTTCACTTCCATGTTCTTTTCTTTCAATTCCCTTTAAACATCAATCAGTAGGGAGATACTTGATCTCTATAGTCCAGCTCGCCTATCTTCCATCCATCCCTCTTACGTTGCCTTTCTTTCCTTCTCATTTTTCTCATTTGCTTTCCCTTTTTATTTTTTTTTCACGATTGTTTGTCTTAAGACGCTTTTGGGTCCAAAAGCTTCCAATTTTGTTTTTTTTTTTTTCAACAATGAAACCCTAAATATTCATAAGCTTCTAGAAATTATTTTATTCTAAAATTACCGATGAATCTTTTTTTAAACATTGATTATTTGTGATTATCTTATCAAATGGGGATTGCTTTTATTGTTAATTGTAAATGTTTTTTCACCTAACAATAGAATAATCTTAACTATACCCGTAGGCCACAAGAGATTGATTAAGTTAGCAAAGGAAGAAAATCTCTTTCTTTGTATTTCTGAATTCAATATTGTGAGAAGCGTTTCGAAAGTAAAATTTTAAATACCCTAAATTAATAAAAAATATATATATCCTTAAATTGTAAGAAAAAAAATTAACCTCAGACAAAACTTTAAAATACCCTTAATTGTATTATAAAAAACTTTAAATATTCATTAACAATCAAGTAATTAAAAATAAATTTATTAATAACTTTTTTTTTTTTTTTGTGAAATAGACGTATAGTTGAACTATTGAGCATCTTGATCTAATATGTCTCATTTCTTTTGCCCTTCTAACCTACCATTATTATTATTTTTTTAACTTGGAGAGTAATTGTATTAACCATGTTCATTTATTTATTAACAAACAATAGGACAGCATTTCATTTACTAAAATATTATAACTCATATGATGCATTCGTATATCTATTTTTTATTTTAAGAATTTAAGTGTAATAAATACTAAAATTTTTATGATTATATATAATAAAGTTTTGAAAATTTATATTTTATATGAATGTGTGAAATGTATTTACTATGTAAGTGTATATATCGTTTTCTCCCTTACCAGTTACTCTAGATACAACTCACCAACTTAAA